GGGGAGCCCCCTCAGGCCCGCCCTGGTCCTGCCCCCCCCACTTTGGGGGTCACCGCTCGAAGGAGCCTGCTGCCTTGTCTCAAGCGTGGGTGGCACAGGCTCCTCTCGGGGCCTCGGGCTCGTGGAGAACCTGGGCTCCTTCCTGAGTTCTACCTCAACCACCCACCCTCTCTCCATCAAGAGGGCACATGTGAGCCCCGGTGAGGGTGGGCTGGGGTCCCTGGGCTGGCATTCAGGTGGGGGAGGTGTGGCCAGAGCAGAGCTGGGACGCTGCAGGAGCAGCTGAGACTCCCACTCAGCAGGACCTCCTAAGAGGAGCCACTGGGCTGGCCTTGGGTGCAGGGCCTGGGGAGCTCTGGTCCCGGGGATGGTCACGGGCAGCCTGCAGGCTCTCCGCAGTACACCAGAGGTGTCCCCTCCCAGAGTGGGGACTCAGCCCTGTCCTGCCCCTTCTCAGTTACGTTAACAAGCCGTGCCTGCCCCCACTGCCCTCCGAGCTCCCCAGTGCCGGCATGGGAAGCCAGCTGGGAGGTGGGGATGGCTCGAGGTGGCCAGCTGTGCTGACTCATTTCCCCAGGAGCCAGTGTGGACTGGCATCCCCCGCCCTCGTCCAGGGGGAGCCCCGCAGGAGGGGCGGCGGGCTGTCCATTCCATCCACCTCGGGAGAGCAGTGTCCCCCACACCCCCACGGCGAGGTGTGCAGAGACGGCGGAAACTGGGTCGCCATCAGCTGTGCCTGTGGCCGCGGGGACCTGGCCACATGGTCCAGTGGTGCAGCGACAGTCATGGGGAGGGCCGGCTACCTGCCCCAGGGTCAGTGGCCTTTAGGTAGCCCCGTGAGCGTTAGCGGCTGGACGCTGGTGTCTCCTGAGGCACCGAGAGGGGCTCTGGCGGGGGAGGGGGGTCCATGCTGCCCTTCCCTCTTCCTGGCTCCGTGGAAGGCTGAAGGGAGGGGCCCCCGGGTGCCTGGCGCTGGGCTCTGGTGCGTCCTGTGTCCCCTCCCGCTCAGCCTGGTCCCCGGGCCCGAGCCCCCAGCACGGGGAGGCCGGTGTGGGCACAGGGAGGGGGCTTCGCAGGCGCGGGTGTGGCCCGTCCCTCAGAGACCTGGGGTCGTCAGAGACCGAGCTGGGCGTCCGCAGCCCCTGCTCCGTCAGCACCACGGACAGCGGCCGGTGGGGGGCGACGCTGCGGCGAAGTGGGTTCCAGCCCGCCTCCGCGCCCTTCCTGAGTGCAGAGTGACTCAGATCGACAGTGCCCACTCGGCGCTGGGGCCCTCCCGCTCCTCTAGAGCCTCCGGGAGACAAGCTGACTCCCACCCTTTCATGAGCCTTCACCCTCATTTGGGGGGCGCATGGCAGAAGCCACAGGAGGGGTCTCGGGTGGAGTGGAGGTGGACGGCCGGGGGGCCTCGCTCAGAACGCAGGACGGGGGAAGGTTGCCTGGGGAGCTGAGCTGCGCTGCCCGCCCGTGGGGGCTGGGGGCCCAGGGCAGCCCACCTCGGCTGGGCACCTCAAGAACTCGGCGAGGGGACCTGGGGCCCGTCCGGCCAGGCCTGCAGACGCTCATTGCTCAGGGAAGGGGGGAAACAGTGCTGGAGGCTGGGGCGCAGTCTGGGGAGTGTCCCCCTACACGTCTGTAGGGAGGGGGGGTCCCTAGGCAGTCCCGCTGTGCCCTCCCTCTTCGGCTTCAACTTCCTGCGGGGCCACAGGGCTGGGCCTGGGGTGAGAGGTCCCCTCCCTCTCAGGTGCAGCAGCAGCGCCTGTCCAGACCTCCGTCCAGCCCCAGGCAGCGCACCCCTGGGTGCGGTCCCTTGTACTCTGTCCTGTCCTCTGAGCTGGTCCCTGCGTTGCTGAGCCTTCCGACAGGGTCTTTTCCGAAGGACCATGACCAAGAAGAAAAGGGAGGTCAAGGATGACCAGAGGGCCTGGGTGAGGGCCACCCCACCCGGCCTCTGACCCCTCAGGCCCTCCAGCTTTCTCCCTGCAGGTCTGAGGCCCCAGGGCCGTAGCCTGAGCCGCGGCGCCTCCCCCTCCTGCTCCCCCAGCTCCCAGGTCCCCAAGGCTCTGCCAGCCTTCCTCCAGTAGCTGGGGGCGGGAGCCGGGCGCCTATCGCAGAGGGTGCTGAGCCTGGCCTGGAGGCTGCCCCGCCTCCTGTGACTGCCTCGAGGCCCGCGGGCCCAGTGGCTGAGGGGAGGGCTGGGCCGCCCGGGTAGGGAAGGGTCCTGCGGTCGGCACCTGGGCCTGGGTGCGGGGTTCTGCACTCAGCCAGCAGCCCCTGGGTCCCTGGACTCCCCAGGCTGTGCTCAGGAAGCCTGCGGGGGGCTGTTGCCCATGTCCATACACGTACATGGGTGCCTCCTGGGGTGCGGCGGGGACCCCGTGGCTGGGCCCAGGCGCTGAGGAGCCCTCCCTGCAGCCCTGGGCGCACGCCGCCTGAGCAGGACTGCCAGCTTCTCCAGCAATTATCTGTGACACTGTGTACTTTTCTTCTCTTGACTGTGCCTGAATTTGCTGTAAAGACAATAATTAGAGATAAAGTCACAATTGGAAAATGAGCCTGAGCAGTTGGAGGGCTGGTAATTAGGGCAGCCCTGGGCTTCCCTCACAGGCCCTCCCGAGGGTGCGCTCTGCTCCCCGGCTCCGGGGAAGTGGTGGGGCTGCTTGAAACCCAAACCTCCTGCCCAGAGGGCCCTGGGGCTGCAGGGGACGGGCATACCCAGGGGCCCAGAAGTGCCAGCTGACAGGGGCGCCTGCATGCTGGCCTCTGCAGGGTGTGTAGGAATCCGTGCACAGCAGACTTTTGGGGACAGAGGCAACAAGCGAGAGAAGATGAAGGCAAGGAGGAAGCCACCAGGGTTCTGGGACATGGCTCAGGGCAGCCCGCTGCGCCCTGGCCACGTGTCCCTGGTCCCCGGGCCCAGAGCAGCTCCCCGCCTGCGTGGGGCGTGTCCCGGGCGCCCTGTCCGCTGGGTTTTCGGTCCTCCCCGCCCCTGTGTGCCGTCAGCAGACTGCCTGCTGTGATTATCGGGGTGGGGGGGTGGCGGCAGCCACCTCAAAACCCACTTATGGGGCCGTCGGCGTTGCCCCCCCAGGCCGCTATTGAGGTGAAGCCTGTGATCTCTCATTGGCCACGTGTCTCTGAGTGCTGCCTCCTGACGATGCGTGTGTAGGGGTGTGTGTGTGCGCTTGTGTGCCAGGCCCCCGTGCGGGGTGTGAGGCTCGGCCATAGGGCCGCTGGTTACGCCCCAGGAACCCTCCCCTGTTGTGTCTGCAGTTTGTCCCGCGTCTGCCCTGGGCCTCGGAGGGGCTCACGTCCCCGGGAGCAGCTGGGCCACTGTGGCTGCGGCTCCTTGAGGCCTGTCCACCTTGTCTGGGGGAGGGGTCTGTGCCAGGCCCCGTTGCCATCCTGGAGGCCGTCCTGGAGGCGTGGAGGCCCTGGGTCTTGGCTCTGAATCACAGATGCCACTGCTCGCTCTGCTATCTTCTGACCTGAATCACAGGCTCAGATCAAAGGCAATTGGTGAGAGCCCCAGGAGCCACAGCCCTTCCCTGGCGGGAGCTGGGGCTCAGCAGGCACCCCTGCGGGGCCTCCGTCCTTCGCTGAGCTGAGGAAGGGCAGGCTCAGGGCTCAGGACTTCCACCAGGCCTGGTCCCTGGCCCTTGACCGGCCTCTGGGGAGCACAGATCACCTCCCAGCCACCTGCGAGCTCACTGACCATGGGTGAGGCTGCAGGGGGGCGGCGGGGAGGAGGCAGCAGGTGGGGAGGAGGACGCAAGCTGCTGGGAAGGTGTGAGCACTCATGAAATGACCCCAGTGGTCAGATAAAGAGACACATGCCCCTTAGGGGAACCTGGATGTGGCAGAAGATTTGCTTCCCAAGCAAAGGGCTTTGCAGTTTTCTGAGAGCTGCCCCACAGCAGCATCCAAAGGGGCAAGTGCAAACCCAGCTGGTCGGAGCCACGAGCCGCGTCAAGGTCGCAGTTAAAGCAGCACAGAGCGTGAATGAGACGGGCGTCCGCCCAGGCTGAGCACAGGCTGCGGTGCTGGGAGCCCCGCGTCTCCCCCAGGGCTGCCTCTGGGCTCCCACGTGCTGGAGGCAGCTCCAGCTGTGGTGGTCACCTCTGTTCCCATCGGGGAATGTCCAGGTGGGGCCCAGGCTGGGGAGGGGAGAGCAAAGAGTGCCTGGGTCTGAGGCCACAGAGGGCCCAGGAGGCCAGGAACCAGGCTGGGGAGGCAGAGAGGCTGTCATGGGCTCTGCCAGTGAATCTTCGAGGGAGGGCGGGTGGTAGGGCCAGGTGCCTGGCTGTGCCCACGTGGCCGGGAGGCAGCGAGCAGGACTGAGGGTCCCTGCTGGTGACAGCAGAGGTGTGCTGACATCATCCTGTCTGGGGAGGGGCCCTGCGCCTGCACCCATGTCCCGGGTGAGCGGGTGCCCGGGGAGGGGCCCTGCACCTGCACCCGTGTCCCAGGTGAGCGGGTGCCCGGGGAGGGGCCCTGCGCCTGCACCGGTGTCCTGGGTGAGCGGGTGCCTGGGGAGGGGCCCTGCGCCTGCACCGGTGTCCCGGGCCAGTGGGTGCCTGGGGAGGGGCCCTGCGCCTGCACCGGTGTCCTGGGTGAGCGGGTGCCCAGGGTCCCTCAGGCCAGAAGGAGGGTGATGGGTAGTGGTGCAGGGTTGGTGAGGCCCAGTGTTGACGGGGGGTGGGGGTGGGGTTGCCGTGTGGGACCGGGTGTCGCCCTGGCTCCCCACTGAGGTCTGGGGAGGGACTCTAGGCATCACTGGCAAGGAAGTGAAGGCCGGACTGAGGCCAGGCTGGAGGACGCTGTGTGGCGTGGGGCAGGGACTGTGCTGGGGGCAGCCTCTGGCTGGTGCCTGAGGAGTGGGGGCAGAGAGCTCCTGGGGTCTGGCTCAGGACGTGCCAGGCGGGGCAGGGGCTGAGTGAGGGGCCCCGAGGGCAGGGTGCGAGCCACGGCCTGGCACCTGAGGCCTGCTGTCCCCCCAGGCCTGGTGAAGCTGGGGATCCACTGTGTCACGTGCCAGAAGGTGGCCGTCAAGATCGTCAACCGGGAGAAGCTCAGCGAGTCTGTACTGATGAAGGTGAGGGGGGAGGGTGGGGGCCCTGCCGCCGGTGACCGGGTTGGGGGCAGGAAGTTCAAGATGCCCCAAGATACCTGGGTGGGGACCTGGGAGCTCACGGAAGGGGACCCGGGGGTGGGCGGGCAGGGACCGGGCACAGCTGGGGGGGGCAGGGAGACCCCCCTGGGGAGCCCCCAGTGACGGCGGCCCCCCGCAGGTGGAGCGGGAGATCGCGATCCTGAAGCTGATCGAGCACCCCCATGTCCTTAAGCTGCACGACGTCTATGAAAACAAAAAATATTTGTAGGTATTGCTGGGTGCGGAGAGCGGGGCGGGGCCTCCTGGGGGCGGGGCCTGCGGGGCGGGGCCTCCTGGGGGCGGGGCCTGCAGGGCGGGGCCTCCTGGGGGCGGGGCCTGCGGGGCGGGGCCTCCTGGGGGTAGTGCTCCGGGGGCGGGGCCTCGAGGGGCGCGCATCCGGGAGTAGGACCTCCTGGGGACAGTGCTGGGGGGCGGGGCCGGAGGCAGGGGTCGAGGGGCAGGAGCCACTCAGGCCGTTTCCCCTGCCCCATGACCCTCGCGCAGTCCCCTCATGCTCCTCACGGGCGTGGGGACCCCAGGCTGGCTGGCTGCACGCACCGTCGCCACGGCCTGCTGTCCGGCTGCGGAGCGTGGCTGCCCTTCCGTCACCACCGAGGCCGGCGGACCTCTCACTGCGTGCAAAGCCTATGCACGTGCCCCCTCCCGCGCGTGGCCTCAGCGAGCGCACCCGGGGTGGGGCCGCCCGCTCACAGGGTCACGAGGGGGCGTCGGCTCTGCTGCTGCCGCGGGCGTGGCTGGAGGCAGGGCCCGCGCCCTTCTTGGGACTGCGGCGGATTGAGGGGGTGAGGGCGGGACGCCGGCCTGGCACCACCCCTCAGGCCCGTGGCCCCAGCCCTCGGGGCCTCAAGCCCGGCCCTGACTGCGCCCTGATGCACGCAGGCCGGCCAGCCCGGGGGGCTCTGTCCTGGGCAGCCCTGGGGGAGCAGGGGGCCCAGCGCCCCACCAACAGCCCCCTCCGAGTGTTCAGTGGCAGACGGTGTGACAAGCCGCCCCCATGGGGCCCCGGGAAGAACAGCGCCCCCGCACCTCAGGCCTGGGGGCTGAGGGAGGTGGGGGTGGTTCTGGGCCCCCAACACTGGTGAGCTGGAGCTTCCATCAGGACCACGATGAGGGGCACGACCCATGGGTCTCCCCTCCTGTCTACATCACCCCCGTTGACCTGATTGAGTACCCACCTGGTCGTGTCTCGGTGACGGCCTGTGAGCCTGGGGTGCGGGTGGGTGCTGGGCAGGTCTGGCCCACGTCTGCCTACACACAGGAGACAGTCACGTGTCCTGCTGTTCTGATACTTATGGGGCTGCTGGGCAGAGAGTGTGGCTCCTGGGAGGCTGCCCAGGATGAGCTAGAAGCAGGGAGGGACCAGGGATGGCAGGCCAGGTGGGGGATACGGTCAAGACAGGCTGGGTGACGGGGCAGGATGCTGGGAGAACACAGGCTGGCCAGCCTGGCTGCTGCTGGGCCCAGCACCCTCCCGGGTGCCAGGGTGGGCCAGGAGCCTGGAGGTGGGAGCTCAGACGGGGGTCTTTGCCCCTGAGCTGGGGCACCTCCTGGACCCCTCTCAGGAACAGGGCAGGCCCTGGGAACCTCCCCTCTCCCTGCTGACACCCTGTGTCCCCACCCCGTGTCCCAGGCCCTTCCTCCCCCAACTCCTCCTCGCCACACACAGGCCCCCTCCACCAGCCCCTCCATTTCTATAAGATCAGCTCCTGATGCCACCGCCCCCCCCAGGCCCACACCTCCATCCCTGCCTGCCCTGGTCCCACCACATGGCCCCTGTCACCCCCTCCTGTCCCCAAGCCCCCTCAGACCACCAGAACCACCCTTGCCCGGCTCCCACCAGGGGTTCCTCAGGGTCTGTGCTCAGCCTGAGTCCCAGCTCCCCTGAGAACCACCGCCCACCCCACCCCACCCCACCCCACCCTACCCCAGAAATCCCCCTTAGGCTCCACCCCAAGGAGGCTCAGCTCAGACACAGCCCACTTCTCTGTTCAGAGGGCTGTGGGGTTCCCCCCATACACCACCCAACTGTGTTGAGCCAAGTGGGGGCCGTCCCTACCTGCCATCTGAACACCCACCCAGGCCCCTCCCCACCTTGCCCCCTCTTCCTCACCCTGGCCCCTCCTCCCCAGGCCCCTCCCCACCCTGGCTCCTCCTCCCCAGGCCCCTCCCCCACCCTGGCTCCTCCTCCCCAGGCCCCTCCCCCACCCCGGCCCCTCCTCCCCAGGCCCCTCCCCCACACTGGCCCCTCCTCCCCCAGGCCCTCCGCCTGCCCTACAGCACATCTTCCCAGACCAGCTGTGCCCTGCCCGCCCCCATCCCTTTTGAGGTCTGCCCTGCTGGCCCCCAGCTCCCTCAGGGCCTAAGCATCTGACGTGTCCTCGCTCATTCAGGAGCCCAGAAAGGGCCTGGAAGGACCAAACCTCAGGCTCACGAGAGGGTCAGCTACCTCAGTGCTCTCTGGCCTTGAGGCTCAGTGTGGGCCTGTTTCTTGGGCCTGCCAGGAGGGGAGTGGGCGGGTGCCCACCTGCCAAGGGGCGGTGCTGGGACCAGGTGGTGGTCCACCGCCTCTGGCCAGTGGTGCCCTGGCTGGGTGCACCCACCCAATGCCTCCCTGCCCCCTGCAGATACCTGGTGCTAGAACATGTGTCTGGTGGAGAGCTTTTTGACTACCTGGTCAAGAAGGGGAGGCTGACCCCCAAAGAGGCCCGGAAGTTCTTCCGCCAGATCATCTCTGCGCTGGACTTCTGCCACAGCCACTCCATATGGTGTGTGCCCCCCCGCCAGGTGCCCCTCTGCCCCTCCAGGCACCCCAGTTCAGTTCAGTCGCTCAGTCGTGTCCGACTCTTGGCGACCCCATGGACTACAGCACGCCAGGCCTCCCTGTCCATCACCAACTCCCAGAGCTTACTCAAACTCATGTCCATCGAGTCGGTGATGCCATCCAACCATCTCATCCTCTGTCGTCCCCTTCTCCTACTGCCTTCGGTCTTTCCCAGCATCAGGGTCTTTTCCAGTGAGTCAGCTCTTCGCATCAGGTGGCCAAAGTATTGAAGCTTCAGCTTCATCATTCTGACTCCCTTTAGGGCGCACTGGTTGGATCTCTGTGCGGGCGCCCCAGGCGCCCCACTCCCCACCGAGTAGCCCCCATCCCTGCTGCTGTGCCTCCCCCAGCTCTTGCACTCCCCTCGCCCCCCACTGGATCAGACAGTATATCCCTACTGACCCCCTCGGGGCATCAGAAAGCTTTCTGCCAGCTGCTCACCCAAATCTCCTTGGTGCTTTCAGAGGCCCCGGGGCCAGGGCATCTTTGGTCTGGGGGCCCCAGGTTGGTGCTGGCCCAGAGCAGGTGTGGTGGGGGAAGGGCCCAGAACACGTGTGAGGTGTGGTGGGGGAAGCAGGAAACGGGAGAGACTCTAGGGAGTAAAGCAGAGCGTGCCCATCGCTGGCAGCCCTGTCCGCCCATCCTGCCACCCTGCAGCCATCGGCTCGAGGGAGACTTCCGATTGGCCGCCGGTGACGTCAGCAGGCTGCGCTGCCATTGGCCTCGTGCTGTGAGGGCGGGGTTTTAGGGGGGCCGAGGGCTCCCGCGGCGGTCAGCCTCAATCCCGCCTTCCTTCCAGCCACAGGGATCTGAAACCAGAAAACCTTCTGCTGGACGAGAAGAATAATATCCGGATCGCAGACTTCGGCATGGCGTCGCTGCAGGTTGGCGACAGCCTGCTGGAGACCAGCTGCGGGTGAGCTGAGCCCCGAGCCGGCCTCCGGTTCTACACAGGCTAGGACGGTGGCCGCAGCCTGGCCCCATGGCTGCCCCAACAGGTGGCCCCAAGGCCTAGGCTGCAGGCAGGGGCTCGGCTCCCCCGTGGGGCTGCCGGGGCGGGGATAAGGCGTGCCCCGTGGTCCTGCCTCTGCCCGCCGGCTCCTTGGGTTCCTGGCTCCCGGGAGCATGCAGAGGGTATGAGGTCGTGGGAGAATTGACACCAAAGCCCTGGGACGCCCCGGTAGGGCATCCACGCCAGGCAGAGTCTGGAGGCATGGAGCGGGGGTCGGTCACCCCGCCCTCAGTTTCCGCCTGCTGCCGTACTGCGGGTCAGCCCAGAAGTCCAGGGCATGGGATGGCCGGGGCATGGTGCGTCCTGAGCCTCCTGCCCTGACTTCGGCTTTGCCTTCAGGTCGCCCCACTATGCCTGTCCAGAGGTGATCCGGGTAAGTAGCCACCCCACCCCAGCCCCTGTCCACACAAGGGGCCTCCCTGCCCCGGTGATTGCAGACCCCCATGTCGGGGCCTGGCCGCCTGTCCGAGGCGCCGCCCCCGGGGTCAGCGCATCCCAGACCCTCCGTCCCCGCAAGAATTGCGGCCCTGCGCACCCGCCAACCCCAGGACTGTCCGCAGGGGGAGAAATACGATGGCCGCAAGGCAGACGTGTGGAGCTGCGGCGTGATTCTGTTCGCGCTGCTGGTGGTGAGGCTCCCTGCGCCCGTACCCCGCCTCGTCGGTCCTCCCGGCGCCCCTCGCCCCCGCACCTCCTCCTCCACTGCCCCCTCCCCCCACCCCCCCAATCCGCGCCCGCTGCTCCCCCCCCGCCCCTCTGCCCCCCACGCCCCCCACGCCGCGCCCTGTGGGCGCGCCCGCCCTGACCCCGCTCCGCCGGCAGGGGGCGCTGCCCTTCGACGACGACAACCTGCGGCAGCTGCTGGAGAAGGTGAAGCGCGGCGTCTTCCACATGCCGCACTTCATTCCGCCCGACTGCCAGAGCCTGCTGCGCGGCATGATCGAGGTGGACGCGGCGCGGCGCCTCACGGTGCGTGCGCCGGGCAGAGCCCTGAGTGCGGTTCTTCCGGACCCGCTCCGGGCCGGGAGAAGGGGGGAGCCAGGGGCTCGGGGGGACTGGGGTCTAGGGGTGGCCAGGGTCTGGCGGGGGGGCCAGGGTCGGGGAGGCCCGACGGTGGGGTGGGGGGAGCCAGCGTCTGGGGGGACCAGGGTTTGGGGCCCCGCTCTGAAAAGAGGCCCAGCGCGCCCCCGTCGGGGCGGAGCGCCTCCTGCTCTCCCTGCGTCCAGCCCCCGCGCTGCCCCCTGCTCCCCCTCCTCCTCCCCGCCCCGAGCCGCAGGGGGCTCCTGCTGCCCACCCCGGAGCCCCGCTCCCCCTAGCTCCCCGCCGTCTCCGGGGAGGCCTGTTCTCTTCCCCGTGGGTAGGTAGGCTCAGGGTGCTAGCCAGGCGTCTGGGATGGCCCCCCTCCGTGAGCCCCCGCCGTCCCCGCCTGCCCCCCGGCTCCACACCTGTCTTCCCCCGCCTCCCCCCACCCCCGCGACTGGCTCGCTCTGCTCAGCCTCCCGCCCCGCCGCTCCGCTCCTGCCCCTCTGGCCTCCTAACGCGGCCTCCGCTCCTTCCTCCTACTAACTCCCTGTTTCTCTTTCCTTGTAGCTAGAGCACATTCAGAAACACATATGGTATATGTAAGTAGCTTTTCCTGCCCTCATCGCCCGCTTTGCCTGCCTCTGTGGCCCGGAGGGCCCACTAGGGACGGCGAGGGGGGGGGAGGGCCCGGCCCAGCGCAGGCCTGCCTCCAGCCTCCGGGGCCCCCGGCCAGCCCTCGGGGACCCTGGCCGGCCCGCGCTGGGCACAGGCAGGACGCAGGAGATGTGCGGAGGCCGGGCGCAGGGAGAGCAGCAGGACTCAGGCCCAGGGCCGGGGAGCGGGCGAGGAGCCTCGGGCGCGGCTGGAGGGAGTGACCGGGCCCTGTCCCCGCAGAGGAGGCAAGAACGAGCCGGAGCCGGAGCAGCCCGTCCCCCGCAAGGTGCAGATCCGCTCTCTGCCCAGCCTGGAGGACATCGACCCCGACGTGCTGGACAGTATGCACTCGCTCGGCTGCTTCCGGGACCGCAACAAGCTGCTGCAGGATCTGCTGTCCGAGGAGTGCGTCCAGGGGCCTGCCTGGGGGCGGGGTCCCGCCCTCCGGGGACCCCCATCCATCCTTCCCGGCGCCTCTCACCCTCTGCAGGGAGAACCAGGAGAAGATGATCTACTTTCTCCTCCTGGACCGGAAGGAAAGGTACCCGAGCCACGAGGATGAGGACCTGCCGCCCAGAAACGAGATAGGTACGGGGTCTCGGGGGCCGGCCCGCGCTGCTCCTGCGGGCTGCCGGGCCCTGACCCCGCTCTGCACGCAGACCCGCCCCGGAAGCGCGTGGACTCTCCGATGCTCAACCGGCACGGCAAGCGGCGGCCCGAGCGGAAGTCCATGGAGGTGCTGAGTGTGACTGACGGCGGCTCCCCCGTGCCCGCGCGGCGGGCCCTGGAGATGGCCCAGCATGGCCAGAGGTGCGTGCCTCCTGCCGCCCTGGCCGGGCGGCGCCCCTCACAGGCGGCGCTGGACCGGGCCTGGCCCCTCTCTGCACCCCGGCCCTGGGGCTGGGCCAAGGCCGCTGCGTGGCACTGGGCTGGGCTGTGCCTGGGGGGGCGGGGGCCTGCATGGCTGCGCTGGCTGCACGGAGCTGGCTGGGGAGGGCTGGACTGGGCTGGCTGGCTGGACTGAGCTGGAATAAGGTGATCTGGGCTGAACTCTGGGCCGGAGCAGGCTGGGCTGGGCTGAGCGGGGCAGGGCTTTGCTTGGTTGGCCTGGGTCAGACTGGGTTGGGTGAGGCCATCCTGGACGGAGCGAGGCTGGAGTGGATTAGACTGGGCAGGGCCAGGCTGGGCTGGGCGGAGGGCAGCTGTGTTCAGAGCCGCAGCCCAGGAGGCTTGACCCTGGTTGGTGCTGAGCCCATCTTTGGGTCAGCTGTGGCCACGCAGGGGTCAGAGACATGGAATCTTGGGGTGGGGGGGTCTGGACCCCCCTGAGGAGGGACGGGCATTGGGGCCCTGCAGAGCCTCTGCTGCTCCCGAGATGCTGGGTGAGACCAAGCCTCCTTGCCCCGGCAGGGCCTTCAGCCCTTGGGGATGCCCCGGGGTGGGAGCTCCGCGGAAGGTCTCACTGCCGGAGGAGCCCCAGCCACACCAGTCAGCCGGGTGCTCGGCGCTGGGGCAAGCCAGGCCTCTGAAGAACTGCAGGCTGTGGGCCACTGTCAGGGTTAAACGGGCCACTGACCCACTGGCCACGGCCCCACCCTGGGTGGTCCCAGCCCCCACTGTCTGGGGCCCCAGCTTCGGGGGCCCTCTCCAGGTCTGCCGGCCGCTGCAGTCCACCGCCCACGGGTCCTGCCCCGGGGTAGGGGCAGGGAGGAGCAGGAGGAAGGCCCTGCCCGGATTGTGCCCGCCTCCTGCTTGTTGGAGCACGCCTCTCCTGGCGGGGCCCCGCAGAAAGGCCACCACCGCCCTTCCCGAGCCTCGCGCTGGCTTCCAGTTCCACAGCTGTGGGCGCGCCAGCCTCCCCCCACCCCGCACACCCCACCTGCGGCCGTCCTGGCTTCCGCTGTGCCTTTCAGGCCCACGCGCCTCAGGGGCTTCGGGGGGCTGAGGCGGGGTCAGGGGTCACCGGTCAGGGGTGACCAACCCCAGGGGTCACCGGAAAGCCGCCCCCTCCCCGGTCCCCACCCCAGCCCCCTGCACTCTCTGCTCTCCTCAGAGGCTGCTTCCCCCTTGGCTTGGCCCCTTGTCCTGGTGGCAGGCCACACCCCCGGGCGGTGCCAGGTGTCCTCCGAGGCGGGCCAGGCCGCCCTGCCCAGCGCCGGGCGCTCCTGCCTGACCGGCCCTCCTGTGCGCCTGGCCGCGGCCGGCGGGCTGTGCCGGATGTGTGGAGGGCCGGCCTCCTGGACCGCCTGGCGGGCCCGCAGCAGTAACTCTGTTTTCTCGCTTTGTTCCCGCTATAGTAAAGCAATGTTCAGTAAAAGCCTGGATATCGCTGAAGCCCACCCCCAATTCAGCAAAGAAGACAGGTATACACCCTGCCCCCCATCCCCCGCCCCAGCCCCACAGACAGCGGCGGGCCTGGGGGCAGGGCCAGGCCTTGGGTGGCCTCCGCCCTCTGGCGAGGGAGCCTTCCCGGGAGCCGGGGAGAAGGGCCGGTCAGCTGAGGCTGACGCCCAGGAGGAGGAATGCAGCCCCCCAGGGTGGGCCAGGAGAGCGGGACTCTGCCCGCCCTGGGCCCTGGGCTGCCCTCGGCTGTGGTCGGCAGGCCTCTGCACCTGTTTGGCCACCCTTCCCCACTCCACACTGGCCCATGTCCGGGGCCGCCCCACTGTCCACAAGGACCAGAGTGGCGGTGGTCGCCCCGGGCGCTGCAGGCTCCCCAGGAAGGGGCAGGGGCTGTGCGGGTCCCAGGAGGCCCTGCACGCGACCCGGCCCTCCGGGCCCCGGCGCCCCGCCTGCAGGGCCCGCTGCCCGGCAGTGCCCATGGCGGGACCTCGCTTGCTCTGGCCCCCCGGCTCCCCCTCCGTGCCCCGCGCCCCCCCCCCCCCCCCGCCGGCTGCTCCGCGCTGGCGTGACCTTCCTGCAGCTCAGCTTCCAGGGTTAGACAGTAGGGCGTGGACGCGGCCCGTCTCTCTGTGCTGCTTTTTTGCTTCCTTTGTGCCGAGCGGCAACCTCGCGACTGCTGCCCCTGCCGGCCACAGTGCGGGGGTGGGCCCCTGCTGGGACCGCCGCCAGCCCCAGCTCTGTGCTCACGTCTCAGAGCTTCGGGCCCGGCCCGGCGGACGCGGGCGGACTGGGTTGGGGCTGCCGAGGGCAAGGTCAGCGCCGTGCCGGCTCCGTGGCTGCGTCAGGTGGGGGCGGTCGGAGGGTCGTCGTCACGGGGCTCCAGCCCATGGGTGCCGGGGCCTGGCCTGCGGGGACCAGCTCCTCCCCGAGGCCCAGGGGTTGGCCGCGGCGTGGGCAGCATGGCCGGGCAGGCGGGCTGGCCGCCCTTCACTCTGTTCTGTGCTCTTCTCTCCCGCGGCTGCCTCGGCCCCTCCGGTTTCCTTCCTCTAAGAACGGCCGGCGCCCAGGGGTGAGCGGGCGTCTCCTTCCCCTGAGGCCACATGGGTGGTGGAGCAAGACCCCGCAGGCCCGGCCCTGCCCCGAGGGGGCGGCGGCCATGGTGGCCTCCGCCGGGCGTGCTGGGCCAGTGACCTCTGTGGTCGTGCCCAGGCCAGGTCTGCAGGCCACACAGCGCCGGGGTGGACAGAGTCTGTGTCCCTGCTGACGGCCGTACAGGCGCCGTACGAGCGAGGCGGGGCGGTGGGCGGCTCTGGGCCACACGGGTGGGCCGTGGGCATGGAGGGGCTGGGCTGGTGCCCAGGCACCAGCGGGTGAGGCACTGGGCGGGGTGCAGGACTCTGGGTCTGTGACAACTCAGCCTGGAGGTTCAGCTGGGCTCAGGTCAGTGGACCCACGGAGAGGGGACCCGGGAGCCTCGCCTCCCCGTCACTCTGCTCACCAGGCTCTCGAGCCTTACTGAGGGCCCCTCCATGCCCTCCTGACCTGGGGCTTCGGGCCTCAGACGTGGGGCAGCTTTTGCGTGGGGGGAAGAGGAGCCCCCAGGCCGCCGGCTCCAACGGCCCCCAGGTGCCCGGGCCCTCCTGGGCCTGGTGCGAGGCTGGTGGGGACGGCAGCCGGCCCTGGGCACTGCCAGGCGTGCGCTGGGCTGGGGCTGCTGCGGGGCTCTCTGTGGGCGCCCCAGAGAGCAGGGGCGCCGGGAGCCCGTGGCTGGCCCCCGCCGTCTGAGCCACTCTGCGCACCTGTGTTCCCAGGTCCAGATCCATCAGCGGCGCCTCCTCAGGCCTGTCCACCAGCCCGCTCAGCAGCCCCCGGGTGAGTGAGCCGCCCGCCAGGGCGCGCCCGCGTCGGGGGCGGCCGGGAGGACCCCCATCCTCGTGCTGCTCTGGGGCTCCGGCTGCTCTCGCTAACTGCACGTTCTCTGTTTTGTTTTCTCGTGTGTCATTTCCTCTTGTGGCGAACGCTCCCCCCGCCCGCCTGCTCCCCCCTCCTGCCTTGGGGTCCCCCTGGCACTGTGTGTACTTGCGGGGGGTGGGGCATGTGGGGGACGGGGCACGCGCTGGGCTCTGGGGGCCCCCTGCTCTCCCTGCGGCTCCCGCCTGCCCTGTAGCCTATTAGAAAGTTCGTCCTGCCTCCCCTGCCCCATGAGCTCCCCTTTGTGGCCTGCCCCCCGGCCACCTCCGTGGAACCTGAAGCTTGCCGGAGCGCCTCCCGGCCTGGACACCTCCTCCCTCCGCAGGCCGCCCCGCGGCCCAACCCCAAGACCCAGACCTTGCCAAGCAAGGCCAAGCTGACCGACAAGCCGCTGCAGGGCGCCAAGTCCAACCCACTCCCGGCGGGCACCCAGGCCCAGCCCCTTGTCCCAGGGGGCCTCAGCCCGCAGCTGGCCCTGCCCCCGGGCCCACCCGCCCTGCCGTCGCCTGCCCAGCTCCCACCCACCGGGACTGAACTGAACACCAAATCTGTCCCCACCATACAGGTGACCCCTCACCCCTCTCCAAGGGGCAGTCCCCTCCCTACCCCCAAGGGGACGCCTGTGCACACGCCCAAGGAGAGCCCGGCCGGCACGCCCAACCCCACGCCACCATCCAGCCCCAGCGTGGGAGGGGTGCCCTGGAGGACGCGGCTCAACTCCATCAAGAACAGCTTCCTGGGGTCACCCCGCTTCCACCGCCGGAAACTGCAAGGTGAGCGTGGCCAGACACGGCGGGGGGCACTGTCCGTGCTGGGAGGCAGGGCACAGCAGCCGCACCCAGTCAGAGGGCAGGGCGCGGGGGCCGGCTGAGGCCAGAGAAGGCGAAGCCCGGTTTCAGCACCAGGAGAGCGGACAGCTCCCCGTGCGGGCGGCCCTGCTGGGGGCGGGGCGGTCACCGCGCTCTTTCCCTGTCTTTCCCGCGCAGTTCCGACGCCCGAGGAGATGTCCAACCTGACCCCGGAGTCGTCCCCAGAGTAAGTGGCCCTGCTTGTGTGTGAGCTGCCAGCTCCTTCCGCTGCCTGGATGTGGAGTGTGTGGGCATCCAGGATGGACCCTGGGTGTCAGGCCGCGGTCACTAGGGCGGTGGGGCCGCCCGCGTCTCCACCTTGAGTGCCAGGGCAGGCGCGGGGCCGGGCCAGGCCGGGTGGGGGGGGACGCGGGCCTGCCCAGTTCTGCCCAGACTGCAGCTGGGGTGGGGGGTCGCAGGGGGCTGGGATGGCACAGCCGCCCCTCGGAGTGACTGTCCGCTCCTGCTGCGAGCCATGGGCTCCACACGGGGAAGCTGGCGGGCCCCAAGCCCCTGGGGGCCAGCTGTGAGGTGCCTGTAGGAAGGGCCTCTGCCAACCATCCCGCGTGAGGTGACAGGGATGCAGTGCTGCCTGGGCGTCTGGACACAAGTCCCCATGTCTGCGGCCCAGACTCCCGAGAGGCCCCAGCCTCTCTCCCTTCACCATGTGAACGCGACCTGCGGGGTGGCCGTGGGCAGGGCTGCCGTGACCTCACTGCGAAAGAAGCTCCCTTACCGCAGTGTTGAGACCCCGCGTGGGGCCTGTGGACACAGCGCCGGGCTGGAGCCGCGGGGCCGCCAGCCCCAGGTGCAGGGTCTCGGGGCCTCTGGGACCCCCGCTGGTGTCTGTTCGGCCAGATTTCCTGCCATCATCAGCAGCTCTGGCAACCACGTTTGTAACTTAATTGTTAGGTTTTCCAGAAAAGCTTAAAAAAAAAAAGCCTACCCAGAACAGCGGACAGCATGTGCAGGCAGCCCATAGCCTCTCGCGCCCACGCTCAAGTCCTGGAGGCCTCATCCCCCCGCCATAGGGCCCTGGCTGGCACCCAGTGGGTGTGGGTGACGGGGTAGCAGACGGATGGCTCTGGGGCAGGGGCATCCCTGGCACCCACTCCTCGTGAGGTCGTGGTCGCCCGCCCAGAGACGTGCCCTCCACGTGGTCGCAGCCTCGGTCCGTTGTGTGTGCGCGGTGTTCGCATCCAGCCTGCACGATGGCGCAGACCCTGGGCTCTATGGGCAGGGAACCAGGCAGGTGCCTCATCTCGGGCCTGTGAGCCCTGTCTCCTCTGGGAGGCCCAGCCTTTGCTCTCAGCGCCTTCCCCCAGCGGGTGAGGCTCAGAGTCCGTGTCAGCACGTGTAAAAGCTGCTTTCAGACAACACGCCTTCACCAACAGGCCCGACTGGGCCCAGACTGGACTGCACAGGCTTTCCCAGTCCCTCAGGCTGCCATCAGACCCGACGCCGAGTGCACAACTGAGCACTTCTGTTTCTTGGCCTCTTCGTCAAGGGAGACGGGGCACCGGCCCCCACCGCGGATTCCAGGGCCGCCTCCCGGCCCTCATCTGAACTTCAGGCCTGCAGAGTTCTGATGCGCCGACAGCTGCAGAGCCAGCAGGCTGTGCGGAAGGAGGTGAAGGTGGCCAGTGACCGCCACGGGCTGGGAAGGGCAGGTCCCGCGTCTCTGCCTTGGAGGCCACGCCCGGAGGCTGGCTGCAGCCCCATGAGTAGACACGGCCTCTGTGGGCAGGCTGCCTGTCACCGTGGCGTCACCAGGGGCCTCAGAGCAGCTCCAGAAATGGTCAAGAAAAAGCAGCGCCGCACAGCGGGAGGATTCCCCACAAGCCAAAGACCCAGCCCGGCGCCCGCAGGGCCTCAGGCTCCACTGCTCACGCTGCCAGCGCTGCCCGAGCAAGACTGGCCTGGGTGGGGCCCCTGCTTGTGGAGCCCTGGCCATGTCCACGCTGAGCTGCTGGCGTCGGGCAGGCGCTCCCGCCAATGCTCATCCACCACCCGGTCTCCGGGTCAGGCTCCGTTTTAGAGTCTTGGCCAATGACGGTCATCTCAAGGCCCATCCGGGGCTCTGTCCACCTCCAGGCTCAGCTGGTCACCGGCAGGATTCAGGCTCCTGGCCACGCAAGCCTCTGCATCACGTCTGTCTGTCCCCGCTGTGTCTGACCGTGTCAGCTTGTCCACACGAGGTGGAGGCCCCTGGCCAGGGGGAGGCCAGCCTTTCAGAGCCTGATTTCCGGGGAGAGGCCCACCGCCCTCCTGCTCAGAAGCGAGTCCCAGGCCTTGTCCTCTTCGGGAGGGGCCCTGACGGGCTGCATGCAGGAGGCAGGACGTGTGTGCTGAGGGGTGGCCCGGCCCAGAGAGGGGCCTCGGACGTGGCAGAGGGACGGAGGGCGATGGGCAGGGCAGGCAGGGTGCCCACGAGATGCGGGCTCTCGTGCTAGAGGGTGCTGCCGCCCTGGGTCCCTGGGGTGGCCCCTGCCCCTCCCCACGCAGCAGCTGGGCCCCCAGGGGTCGAAGCAGCCTCGGTGTTCCAGGAGTAATCTGGGCAGGGACGCCAGGCACCAGTCCCCAGGCACAGCGGGAGGGCAGGTGGCATCCGGGGCATCTGACCCCATCCCTGCCCCCACCCCGGGCAGACCTGCGCAGGGTCGCCCCCCCGCCCCACCCACAGAGCCCCCGATGGGTACCACTCCCTGGAAACTGCAGGGAGGCCACTCCGCAAGTCACCCCCAAACCACAGTTTAATGCAAGGCTGGGGTTGGGGTCGCTTGAGGGCAGGGTGGCCCCCACTCTCCCCTCCTGATGGGGTCTCAGTGGCTGCTGCCCACACCCAGGTGGGAGGGGGTGGCTGTGGGACCAGCGTGAGGGCTGCGGGGTCGGGCGGGGGTGGTCAGGGGTCAGGGTGGAGGGACGATTAGGGTGGGGAGTCGGTCAGGAGTAATGGAGTCAAGATGGGGTCACAGTCACAGCTGGGACGGGGGTCAGGATGCGGGGGCCAGAGCTGTGGGGTCACGGTCACCGTGATGGGGTCAAGGTGTGGGGTGTGGGGTGAGGGTCAGGATGGGGTCAAAGGTCAGGTCAGGATGGTGGGGGTCAGGGCTGTGGGGTCATGGTCACCATGATGGAGTCAAGGCAGAAGCTGTGGGGTGAGGGTCAGAATGGGGTCAGGGTCAGAATGGGGTCAGAGATCAGGGTCAGGATGGTGGGGGGGTCAGGGTCAGGATGATGGGGTCAGAGGTCAGGTCAGGATGGTGGGAGTCAGAGCTGTGGGGTGAGGGTCAGGATGATGGGGTCAGAGGTCAGGTCAGGATGGTGGGGGTCAGGGCTATGGGCTGAGGGTCAGGATGCTGGGGCCAGGGTAGGGGTCCAGTTAGGACAGCAAGCTGCCCGCAGCCCAGGGGGCGGACAGGCCGGCACTCACAGCATGCTGGCTTGCCCTGAGCTGACCAGCCATCCGCCCGCACGCAGGCTCGCCAAGAAGTCCTGGTTCGGGAACTTCATCAGCCTGGAGAAGGAGGAGCAGATCTTTGTGGTCATCAAGGACAAGCCGCTGAGCTCCATCAAAGCTGACATTGTCCACGCCTTCCTGTCGGTAAGCCTCGAGCCGCGAGGTCCCTGCCCCCGGGGCCCCAGCCTGGGCAGGGCCAGGGGCGTGGGAGACGGGCGTCCCCTGGGGCGGGCCCAGGCTGGGGGCGGGGGTGAGGTGGGGTGACTCAGCCGCTCTGAGGAGGGGCCTGAGGCCTCGTCATGGGGCGGGGTCTCTGCGGGTCTGGAGGGTTCACCTGGGGCCTCGAGACTGCCCGCCTCCCGCAGCCCCACGCCCCCCTTGGTGGGTCGCCCCGCAGCCCCTCCACGCAGAGGCTGCTAGGCCCGACCAGAGCCACAGGCCTGCATCCAGCAGAGCTGGGCCTCGACCCCGGGGGCGCGCATCCCCTACACGCGGCCCAGGCTCTGGCCCGGCCTCTCCCCTCCCACAACTTGGGCCCTGCTTTCTGCCCTGTGTCGGGGTCCATCCTGTGTTGGGGTCCACCTGCCTGAGGCGGAGAGCCCCCGCCGCTGGGGCCTGGGGGCCGGGGCTGGAGGGGGTGGCTCCACGAGGGGAGGCCGCGCTCACGCCGCCTGCGCCCACAGATCCCCAGCCTCAGCCACAGCGTCATCTCCCAGACGAGCTTCCGGGCCGAGTACAAGGCGACGGGGGGCCCGGCTGTGTTCCAGAAGCCGGTCAAGTTCCAGGTGGACATCACGTACACGGAGGGCGGAGCCGCGCAGAAGGAGAATGGCATTTACTCGGTCACGTTCACGCTCTTGTCTGGTGAGCTGCTGGGGAGGCCCGGGGCCGCGCCTGGGCGTGGGGTCCCCACCGGCCCTGCCCCTCACCTGCCCTGTCCCCCCCAGGCCCGAGCCGCCGCTTCAAGAGGGTCGTGGAGACCATTCAGGCCCAGCTGCTGAGCACACACGAGCAGCCCTCTGCCCAGCACTTGTCAGGTGAGGGCGGGGCCCAGCTCGGCCGCGCGAGGGCTGGGGACAGGGCGCGGCCCATCCGCGAGCCGCCTGGCCCGCAGCCGCGCGCCCCCAGGGAGCAGGGCCCTCCCGCCAGCGGCGTCTGCACACCAGGGAGGTAGGGCCGCACGCACGCTGAAAGGCGCCTCTTGTCCACTGTAGAACCCCCCCCGCCAGCTCCGGGACTGAGCTGGGGTGCTGGGCTTAAGGGCCAGAAGGTGGCCACCAGCTACGAGAGTAGCCTCTGACGCTGGCAGGTAAGGTGTCCGGCCCCACCGCTGGGGCAGGGAGGGGGCTGTGGGCAGGTCCTCTGAGAGAGCCAGGCCGGCCCGAGGAGGGCGCCCTGCGCCCACCCACACATCCAGCGGCCACCTCCTGGCCCTGGACAGGCCACGCGGGCCCAGCACACAGCTGAGCAGCTGGACACGGGGCGACCCGGCCCCAGGCCAGCGAGAGTGGGCTCCTCCGGAGTGACCAGGGTCCTGCTGGGGCCCTGTGCCCTTGGGGTCCCCCACAGAGCATCCTCCTGGGCGGGGGTGGTACCCACTCTGGTACCCACTCTGGCTGATGTGAGGGGCTGTCCACCACCCACCCTCCCCTAGACGGGCAGGACAGGGGGGTCCAAAGCAGGGGCCCCCCAGCTGGGCCTAGAGCGGGGCACACAGGGGCCGGCACTGCCCAGGCCTGCAGCGCTGGAGGCCCGGGAGCCTGAGTGTCAGCACTGCTGGGCCCTGCCGGGGAAGGGGCTGCAGCCGCGTGGGTGTGGGTGAGACCTGGGGCTTGTGCATGAGTGGTGAGCAGCGTGTCAGGGAGGGCGTGCGGCGTGGGTTCGCAGCGGGAGATGCCAGCTGACCCCGAGGCCCTTGTGGGCCTGGAGAGCACAGGGTCCAGCCCAGAGCCCCCTCAGAGCCCCCTCTCAGGGCCCCCATGACCAACTGTCTGTGCTTGTGTGTGGGGTCCTAGAGGCCGAGCAGCCCCCGTCCATCCCGCCCTGCCATGCTCATCCCATCGTCTGTGTTCCACCTTCGCCCCCTGTCACGTGTGCCCTGCTGGTGGGGGGGCTGGGGCTGGGGGGCTCTGACCCACGGAGGGGGCCCACTCCCCTGGCCCTGGGGGCTGGCTGGCCTGGGGGCTGTGCCTTTAATGCCCCCACCTCAGAGGAGGCAGTGTTTCCAGGGGGAGGCCGAAGCTGGGGAAGAACAGTTTGTCCGGGGAAGCAAGCAGGGGGCCTGGTGAACTGCCTGGAAGACAGGGACATGGGCCCTCTTTGCTCCTGGCCAGGCAGAGTCCCGTCCTAGGAGGCCCCCTCCCGTCAGCCAGTGTCCCCCCGCTAGGCCCCGGCCCAGCAGCAAACTTGGTGGACTGATCCTTTTTGCAAGGCCCACGCCCGCGTCAGCTCCGGGTCTGGATCTCCCCCCTGGAGGCTGCTGCCTGCTGGCTCTGGACCTCCGCCCTGCCTTCTTTCAGGGAGCCCGGGACTTGAGGAGTCCCAGCCCCTCCCAGGGGTCGGCCCTTAGCTGTTCCCTCCCTCTCATACTGGACTCGCTTGTCCAGAGAGTTCATTCCTAGAGCCGCTGGATGGGGGGAGGGGTGCAGAAGCTGGGGTCCCCCTGGGGCTCCAGTCTGAGACCTGGTGACCACTCCGGCAGGGCCCCACCGCAGCCCAGGGAGGGGCCCTTAGAGGGCCTGGCTGCCTTCCCCACCCCCAGCCCACCCGACCCGGCCCAGCAGGGGGTGGAGAGAGTAGGGAAGAGGGCGGCTCCCTGAGCCTGGGGCAAAGGGGAGCCTTGTAGCCAGTGGGTCAAAGAGTGAGTGGTAGGCTGAGGACCCAAAGGTAGCCGGCACAGACCCCAGCCAGAGGCTTGGACCTCTCAGCTTCGAGGCACATGCGCTGGGCCCGGAGTCGGAGGGAGGGAGGGCCAGGCACGACCCCCCCAGTGCCCAGGAGAGGGGCCCCGCTTTCCGCTGCCCTCTGCGGAGCCATGCCCGGCTCCGGCTCTGAGCCCCGGCCCTCTTAGCCGGCCTGCGTTGGCCCCACCCCTTGGCCACAGCCCCGCCCACCCTTGGCCATGGCCCTGCCCTCAGCCCCGCTCCTCCCAGGGCCCCGCCCCCTCCCAGGGCCCGGCCTGAGGCTGCCCCCAGCTGGAGGTCTGAGCTGGAAGCTGTGTTCACACGTCTCCCCTCCTCTCTCCGTTCTGTGCTCCAGACACCACTAACTGTATGGAAATGATGACGGGGAGGCTTTCCAAATGTGGTAAGAAGCCCTCACGCGCACCTGGGCCCCCCAGCCTGTCACCCCATCGCTCACCCCTGCACCCCCTGCAGCCTGCTCCTGGTGGGTGCTGCCCCCAACCCCGGCTGTCCTGGGGTCCCCGTGTACCCGAGGGGCCTGGACATGCACACGTGGCCGCGCTGGCCCCCAAGGAGCCCGGCTGTGCCCAGCCCCCAGCCTCTGCCACCAGCCACCTCCCTCATTCAGTTCCCAGAGCGGCCGCAGGCCCAACCCAAGATCAGGGCAGGCCAGGGAGGGACTTCAAGGCTCAGAGCAGGAAGGGCCGCCCCGGCCCCAAGGCCAGCAAGGCTCCCAGCTGCGGGCTCCGGCCCAAGGTCAGGGGTCCCCTAATCCCTGGGCCGCAGGCTGGGGTCCGGCCCTCTGCCCCCTGGAGGGGGCGGGGTGGGGCTCCTGCTGCTCTGTCTTCGGAGCAGAGAGGGGGTCCTGTCCTTGCCCGGGTGGGGCCCGGCTTAGGAGGAGGGGCTGAGGTGTCCCGGGGCCAGGAGCACAGGGTCCCTGGTGGGCTGGGCCCCCACGGCTGCCCCTTCCTCTTCCCTCGGGACGGTCTCGCCGGGACCAGGGCCCCCACTCTGGCTGCCTGCCCCAGCCCCCACCACACTCAAGCTCCATGCGTGTCCACCCATCCGTCCGTCTGTCTGTCCGCTGCTGACCTCTGTGTCCACGCTGTGCCGTCCGGGCTGGCCGGGGCCGGGCTCCAGGCCTCCCGGGAGGAGTGTGATGGACACACTGGCCCTGGCCTTTCCACCTCTGACTCCAGAGCTGGGCCGGCCTGCCGCTGAAGATGCAGGGTGACAGGAGGTCTGGCGGCGGAGGAGGGTCCCCGCCGGCCTGGGCCCCGGCCCGCTGCCCAGAGGCCTGGAGTCCCCCGGCCACCCGCCCCGCTTGCTGCCGCGGCCCCGCGCGCCCGCGCAGATGCCCTCGCGGGCCCCTGGTTCATTCGTCTTGTTCTCTCTCTTCCCTCCCTTCCCCCTTTTCTCTCTTTTCTTTTTTTCTTTTGTCTTCTGTTCTGTGCACCCAGGCAGCCCATTGAGTAACTTCTTTGACGTAATTAAACAACTTTTTTCAGACGAGAAGAATGGGCAGGCGGCCCAGGCCCCCAGCACGCCCGCCAAGCGGAGTGCCCACGGCCCACTCGGGGACTCCGCGGCCGCTGGCCCCGGCCCTGGCCCTGGAGGGGACGCCGAGTACCCAGCGGGCAAGGACGAGGCCAGGACGGGGCTGCCCGCCGCCCGCCGGGAGCAGCCTTAGACAGACACATAGCCCCCTCCCCTCGCGCGGCCCGCTGCCCGCCCCGTGTGGACCGAGGGCCACGCCCGTCTGTCCGTCTAGACTGTTGTGAAGCCGGGGAGGAAAGGAAAGGGGGCCCCGGGGTCCGCAGCCCAGGCTGGGCCACCCGGGCCCGCTCTCTCTTTCTCTCGCTGTCTCTCTCTCTGCCTGTCTCTGACAACGCCACTGTCTCCACTCTGATACCAGGAATTATCCCGAAAAGTTAACATGTCACCTCCACGAGGCCGTCCTCCGTGCTCTGCGCCGGACTCCGGCTGACCGAAGGCAGCTGCCGCAGACCCGCCCTCCTCCCGCCGCCTGCCCGCCCGCCCGCCCGCCCGCGCGGCAGCTCTGCCCACTTTCAGCTCCGCATGGCCATGGGGAGGAGGACCCGGGCCCCCCGACTGGACGCGCGCTGACCAGCGCCCTCGGCGGGTCCAGCCGGCCTCCGGGGCGGGCCCGAGAGGGCGAAGCAGTCGTCTGGCCCGGCCGCCTCGGCCTCTCCCCGGCGCGCCCCCCCCCCCCCCCCCCCCGCCGCTCCTTGTCCACGTCCGCGCACCTCAGCGCTGCCCACGTGACCCGCCGCATCCCACCCCAGCTCCCTGGGCACCTCAGGTGGAAAGAGACCCAGGGCTGAGCGTGCCCGCCCGCCCGGAGGCTGGCCGAGATCAGTATTATTTATTTGCTGTTTTAACTTATTGAGTTTCTTCTCTGTTCAGGGAAGGGGCAGCAGCAGCGCCGTCCTGCCGTCTGTCCGTCCGTCTGTCTGTCTGTGTGTGTGTGTGTCTTGGGCAGGGTGGGGTCTGGGCCGAGGTGCCCTGTGGACAGAGCCGTCGGGGTGCTGGGGGCAGCCGGCCGGTGCAGCGCTGGCAAGCTACTGTAAACTTTAAAGAATTCCTGCAAGATATTTTTATAAACTTTTTTTCTTGGTTGTTTTTGGAGAAGGGTGTTGGGGTGGGGGGGGCGGGCCACGGGGCAGGGCTAGACTTGGAGTTCGGTTCTTTCTATACACACACATATAAATATATTTAGAGAATGGCGTGGTTCGCTCTGTCCCAGGTTCGGTCCCGAGGAGACGCAACTCCATCCTGGGGGGCCCAGGCCAGGGCCCATCTTGGTTTTGTGTCCGAGTGTGGGGCCCGGGGAAGGCCCGAGTTGGCCCCCTACACGTAACATGCAAGATGGCAGGGGGCATTGCAGGGTTTTTTTTTTTTTTACTAAAATGACAAAAAGTTAAAAAAAAAAAAACAACAACCAAGGACAAAGAAAGGCAGCGAGTTGCTGTACCCGGAGGGCCGTGCGGCAGGCGGGGTTGCATGCCCGCGCCGCCACAAGGCCACGTCGCGTCCACCTGCCTGCTCGCCCGATGTGGATACATTTTAATGCTTCTGTTCCATTGGCCCCGCCCCAGGCTGGGATCTCAGTACATAACAAAAAACGAAACACCTATAACAGCAAAAGCCACGCGACCCCCGTGGGAGGGGCTCCTCCAGAGACGAGGACCGGAAAGCAATACCTCTCGTTAGTCTCCCTCTTTTGTACTCGGACACACACAGACGTCACGGAATTGGACGAGCCCCACCCAGTGTACCCCATCAAATAACTGTGAGCAATTTTAGTTCCGAACAATAAATTCCTTCCGTAAAGTCACCCACGCCAGTCTCCGTGCGGGCGGGCGGGTGGGGATGTGGGGCGGCCTGGGACCGAGCCGGCAGGTGTGATGGTGCGACGTCTGCCTGGCCAGCGAGGACCGGGGGCTGGGCCGGGTGGGGCGCGGACGCCAGGAGGGCACTCTGGGGGGACGGGCGTCGGCCACTGCGCCTCTGCTCCCTCCCTGAGACCACACCCTGGGACCACACCTGGGCCCTTCCGGGACAACGGCCTTCCTTTTTGCCCCTCCCTTCTGCGGGAAGAGGCAGAGGGGTGTGTGGCCCAGCCCTGGAGTGACGGGCCGAGGCGGGTGGGCAGCCCTGGGACAGCGGGCTGGCAGGGCAGCGTGGTCCCTGCCAGGGGTGGAAGCACCACAACCCCCTGGCGGGCAGCCGACCCCCCCCCCCCCCCCCCCGCTTGCTGCAGTGCCGAGGGGAGGCCCAGCCTCCTGAGGGCCCCGGGCTGCCCAGCCGCGCGATGCGAGGGCAGCAGCCGGGAGTCCCCACGCAGCCGTGAGGAGGGACGCAGGGCAGCCCACGACCGGGCCCCCAGCGGGGAGCACGAGGCCCTCGGAGCCACCTCCTGGCGCGTGGAGGGGCCTCTCTGCACCCAGCCGCCCGCACAGCGCAGCGCCCCAGCCTGGGGGCTGGGCGGCCGTCTCTCCCGTGGCGGGGCGGCGACCCCCCGGCTCCCAGCCAGCCGGCCAGCTCTTCCGAGATGCGGCCACCTGGCCCGGGGGCGGGCAGGTCGGGCCAAGGGTTCACGCGCTCCCCTCCCAGCCATCAGGCGGGGGGCACAGCGGGCTTCCCGGGCGTAGCTCTGAGCTTGGGGGTTCTGCTGCAGTGGCGTGGGCCCCAGACTCACGAGGCGACTCTGGAAACTGCCCACCGCCGAGGAGACTGGAGCCCAGAGGGTGCTCTGGGCCCCAGCACTGCGTGGTGTCCCGTTCACTTCAGCTTCAGAACCGGGGGGAGGGGGGTCTGGTTGCTACATCCTGGCAAGGTGCGTGGCCGTCAGGCTCTTGACCGGCTGCCAGTGAGGGCTTCTTGACCCCACGGTTCTGCACGTGCTTCACTGAGAGCAGCTGACTCGCCTCAGGCCTCCTCGGCTCTCCCCCCGGCCCTCTTACAGTCTGCATTCTGACGAGTCGCCCTCAGTGGGCATGACTGGCATCCCCAGCGGACACCGCAGTCGTCAGCAGCGCCCTCAGCTTCCGTGGGAGCCCACCAGTGCACTCCCACAGGCGGAGCACCCCTTCCGCAGCCCCGCTTCTACACCAAGCTCGCTCTTGGTTGTAAACAAAAGAAACCAAAGCAAGCTAAGCCAAAAGCTGCTAGGGCTACTATTTTCTCCCATTACATCAGCGTGTGCCAGACAGATGCCTTCTGAGCACTTTACACTGAGCACTATGTCTGTGAAGTGGAGACTTCAATGGGCCCTTGCAGAAAACAAACAGGATCAGAGGATGACGTCGCAGGCCTGCTGACCCACCAACCGGTGTGGGTGCAGCCCCCCCAGGGTAACCCTGGGCGGGGGGCCCGAGGGCAGAGCCAGTGGGCAGGGCACCCAGCTGTGGGTGGAGCCGCCACCCAGCCCTCTCTCCGCCCTGCCTGGAGCCCACCCTGGCCTGTCCACGCGCTCAGCTGACAGGGGTGCCCGAGCTGGGAGAGGCGCTTCCACCCGCCGGCTTCTCTGCGGAGCAGAGAGCTCACTGGCCGCAGGAGGGTCCTGGCCTTCGCCCGCCCCACCCCGTCCCCACCCTGCCCCCCGCGGCTCTGCGCCCACTCCTTCCTCACCCTAGGCCACCAGGTCCAGTCCACAGCTCCTCCCTCCTGGGCCCGCCCCCACCCCCCAGCAGCCCAGTCTCCCTCTGTGGCTTGGCAGGGGTGGAGGTGGCAGGGCGCAGAGACGGTGGCCAGGGCTGGGAGGAGAGAGAAGCAGTGTGAACGTCAAAGCCGGGGTGTCAGCGTAGGTGGGGGCCGTGGACACAGCCCCCCACCGAGGCGGGGAGGCAAGTGCCGGCCCCAGGGCGCAGGCGGGACTGCGGAGCCTATGCTGCGGTCACGCTTGTCCGCGGGGTCAGGCCCGGGGTGCAGTGCCTGTGTGGACCCTCTCGGGCCCTGGATGACCCTGTGACACTTCCACGGCCCGTCCTACACATGGAGCTGGTGTAACGTGTTCTCAAAACCTAGGGGCTTAAACCATACAAACGTGCCTTCTTAAGTTCTGTAGTTCATGAATGGGGTTTCACTGAAATGGCCTCACTTCTGCAGGTCCTGGGGAAAGATCCGTTTCCTTCCTTAGCTTTTTCTTTCACCATTTGATTCACTCTTGGGTGCCCCCGGGCTCTGTCATTGGGGCACACAGGCACAGGGGCTGACCAGGGATTGAACTACCCTGTGCTGAAAGCCGATTCTTAACCACTGAGCCACCAGGGACATCCCCTTGGTCAGCTTCTGGAGGGCCCCCTGCATCCCTGGAGCCAGGAGCACAGGCCAGCCCTCCTTACGCTGTGTTGCCCTGGTTCTCCCCCCTCCGTCTGAAGGAGCCCCGTGACCACACTCGGCCCAGGCTTCCTCCTCATGTCCAGCTGGTGAGCAAGCTTCACTCTACCTGCAGCTGTCCCCCTCTGCTGGGGAAGGTAGCAGGCCGTCAGGTTCCAGGCACGTGGGGGTGGACCCTTTTTGGGGGGAGGGTGTGTTACTCTGCCCACTGCAGACTGCTCCCTAGCAAGTCCCACATCAATCTCGTGTGTAAAACACACCGGTCTCCTGAGCTTTCCTGAAGTCTCAACCCACTGCAAGGTCAAGTCAAACCCCAAACCTCACCTCAACCACCTGAACCAGGTGAAAGCCAGACGCGGAATGTGAACTGTCCCAGCACATATTGGGGAACTGCCCCTTTCCATATTGGGCCTCTGAGACGAGAAGTCACCTACTTCCAAAATACAACAGTAGAAGAGGTCCAAGAGGCCAGGTACAGGCGTTTCCATCCAAAAAGGGAGAAAATGAAGGAAGCGTATTTTGAAGTCCAGTGGGGCCCCACACCCCTTGAGGCAGGTGCCCAGCAAGGCCTGGGAGTTGCCCTCTGCGGCTGAGGGCTCCGCGCCCAGGACTCTCTGCCCCCTTCAGCCCTTCATCTTAGAGAAAAGGAGCCAGCGTCCTCAGCCGAGGTTCCATCAGCCTGCGTCCTGCCCAGAGAGCTTTGGGTCCAACAGCCTCCCACTCGACCCGCTGTCCCCTTCAGTCCTCGCTGGCAGCGTTTCTGACGGAATGAAGTTCTCAAGAACCATGGAGGTGTCATGGTACGTCATGGGGGTTCTCTCCCTAAGACAAGAGGCTCCTTTAGATCCTCCCGAGATCCTTCCTGTTTCCGGGTCTGCCGGGACAACTGAGGTCTGTTCCAAGACTCTCTGATGGAATCTCTGCTGTGGTTCACGCTCCGAGTCATCAAAGAAAGGCTGCCCAGCACCCTTGGCTTTTTCTCTAGGGGGCATTTCCCAACAGGCAATCTCCTCATTCTAGTGTCTTTTTCAGCGGGCTGGGCTGAGAACTTCTTAGACCATCGAGTGTTTTGGTCCCTTTGGTCACTAGCTCTTTCTCAGTCTCTCAACGTGTATTTTACTATAAGCAACAGAGAAAGCAGCCTGCACCTTTGACACTTTGGCTGGAGTCTCCTCAGCTAAACATCCAGGCTGCTTGCTCACAAGCCTGCTACACGGACATTTGGGGACCCAGCAGGCCGGCTCCCTTCCACCCTCCCTCCAGCTTCCCCCAGAGGGTCCTCCCTGAGTGCCAGGTCAGCCGTGGTCCAGTTCCCCTGCATCTGGAGGCCGCTGCTTCAGAGATCCATTCCCAAAGAGGAAGGGGACAGCCCGTGTGGCCTGTGGGCCAAGGGCTCACAGTGAGCCGGGAGGCAGAGGGGAGCTGAGCAGGACGGGCAGGGTGGGTGGCCTGGGAGGGGCTGTGGCCTCCCAGAGGCGCAGAGCTCTTGCAGCCTGCGTGCGGGCGTAGGGTGGTCAGCTAGGAGCCTGTCCTTCTGGGAGGCGGAGGGAGCAGCTGGCCCCGCCAGGCCTGGGGGCTGGTGACATGCCAGGGCGGCAGAGGAAGGGTCTGCTGGCCACGACTGAGTTTGAGGTCAGCTGAGCGTCAGGAGGGCAGGAAATTCAGGACCCAGCAGGGCACGGGCTGGCGGGGAGGATGCAGGAGCCCGAGGGTTGGCAGGGGGCAGGGGTGCATGACAGGAATCAACACGCGGGGACGGTGCAGGGCCTTGCAGGAAACCTGCGTCTCTGCCCACAGGGGGCTGGACCAGCTCCAGGGCTGTTCATACCACCCCCGCCCTGCCACCACCCCCCAGCTATCCTACACCCACCCAAGTGATGCTGCCCGTTCCAGAGGTGGCCCCCACAGCGGAGCCTCTGTGCCAGCTGGCCAGGACGCTCACCTCTGGCCGACTGCGGCCCCCACTCCAGGGTCACTGCTGCCCGGGTGGAGAGAGCACACCACAGGGAGACTGAGGGTCCAGAAACCCTGGGGACCTGACCCACAGAACACTGCCCCGCCCCCAGCTCCCAGCAACCCCTGGACACGTGCAGCAGGGGAGTCCGGGGTGAGGCCTGGCAGGAAGGCAGCACCTGCTCTTGGCAAGCACAGCTGTGGTCAGTGAGGGTTCCCTGGGCTGGCCTGCAAGGGAGGGCGCTGCCCCGGGCCATGTGAGGAGCAGGGCACATGGCCAGGCCGCCCTCCGCACCGAGACGCTGACACACACAGGAGCTGACCTGAGAGAAGTCTCTTTATTACACCCGCACAGGGACGCCAGGCTCTCCTGACCCCGGCCGCGGCTCCACACAGGCTGCCTCCCGGGCACCATGGCCCGGACCCTGGCTGGCCCGGGGCCCCTCTTGGGCAGTGAGGGCAGCGGAAGGAGACACTGCAGCTCGCGGAGCTCCAGACACCCGGCCTCCCTGGCCCTCCAGCCGGCCCTGAGCCAGAGTGAGTCCAGATCGGGAGGAGAGAAGAGAAAGCCAGGCTAGGGTCTCTAAAAGCCACTCCAACCGGAGCCAAGACCAAGGGCGGCGGAAGCGAAGCCTGCGGCCCCCGCCTCGGGGAAGGGTCCTCCCCCACCCCCACCCCCCGCCCCGCTGCGTGTCTCCCCGGAGGCAAAGGCCCAGCCGGGGGCGGGGCGGACGCGGAAGACCCTAGAGGGAGACTCGGACGGGCGGCCCCGGAGGTGTTTGCCACGGACGAGCGGAGTCCAAGGTGCGCACAGTCCGTGCGCGCACAGACACGGACGCGCGCGGCGCGCCGCCGCTCCCTCGGCGCGGGCGCCGCCGGGCTCACCTCTCCTTGACGTGGTTCTGTGCGCCCGCCGCCCCGCCCGGCCCGTCCCCGCCGCCCCCGCCGCACAGCGCCTCCGTCAGGTCGTCCATGACCGCCGTCTCTTTGGGGTCGAGCAGGTTGAACTCGCGGGCGAAGAGGATGAAGTGCACGTAAAGCGTGTTCAAGTGTCCGTGCAGCTCGAGCGCCAGGGTCTCCTTGAAGTGCGCCGAGTAGATGTGCGCCAGCACGTGGAACAGGTACTTGCAGATCTTCTTCACCAGGGCCTCGAAGGAGCTGGGGAACTCGCGGCCTGCGAGACGGCCGGGTCACCACCCCGGCCCCGGCGGGGAGGAAGGCCGTCGTCCCCAGGCCCGGACCGCGGGTCTACCCCCCCCCCCCCCCCCCCCCGCCACAGGCCGCCCTGCGTGCCCGCCTGCAACGCCCGAGTGAGTGGGCGCCACGCGGGGCCCCGCCGGTGGGTGCTCTCCCCGCTGGACCGGGCGCCTCTAGCGCCGGGGGCCCGCGACCCGGCTGGAGCCGGCCCGGGCCCTGGGCGCCCTGGCCCGCAGAGGGCGCGGTGTGGGCGAGGCGGCTCCCGCGGGCCCGGGGTGGGCGGGGTCAGGGGCGCGACGGGACAGGGGCACGCACCGTATTTCGTGGGGAACACGTCCTCGTCGGTGACCAGCTTCTGCACGGAGCTCATGACGAAGTCCACGTACTGCGGGGCCGTGCACTTCAGCTTCTTGCCCCGCTCGTCGTGCCAGTAGTACTGTCTGTGGGGACAGCGCGCTGACGGGGCGGCGGCGCGCGGCGCCCGGCCCTCCCGGGGCCCTGCCCCGGCTGCTCGGGGCCCTGCCCCGGCTTCTCGGGCCCGGCCCTCCCCGGGGGCCCTGCCCCGGCTGCTCAGGGCCCGGGGCTCCCCGGGGGCCCTGCCCCGGCTTCTCGGGCCCGGCCCTCCCCGGGGCCCTGCCCCGGCTGCTCGGGCCCGGGGCTCCCCGGGGGCCCTGCCCCGGCTTTCTCAGGGCCCGGCCCTCCCCGGGGCCCTGCCCCAGCTGCTCGGGCCCGGCCCTCCCCGGGGGCCCTGCCCCGGCTGCTCGGGCCCAGGGCTCCCCGGGGCCCTGCCCCGGCTGCTCGGGCCCGGGGCTCCCCGGGGGCCCTGCCCCGGCTGCTCGGGCCCGGGGCTCCCCGGGGGCCCTGCCCCGGCTGCTCGGGGCCCGGGGCTCCCCGGGGGCCCTGCCCCGGCTTCTCGGGCCCGGCCCTCCCCGGGGCCCTGCCCCGGCTGCTCGGGCCCGGGGCTCCCCGGGGGCCCTGCCCCGGCTTTCTCAGGGCCCGGCCCTCCCCGGGGCCCTGCCCCAGCTGCTCGGGCCCGGCCCTCCCCGGGGGCCCTGCCCCGGCTGCTCGGGCCCAGGGCTCCCCGGGGCCCTGCCCCGGCTGCTCGGGCCCGGGGCTCCCCGGGGGCCCTGCCCCGGCTGCTCGGGCCCGGGGCTCCCCGGGGGCCCTGCCCCGGCTGCTCGGGGCCCGGGGCTCCCCGGGGGCCCTGCCCCGGCTTCTCGGGCCCGGCCCTCCCCGGGGCCCTGCCCCGGCTGCTCGGGCCCGGGGCTCCCCGGGGGCCCTGCCCCGGCTGCTCGGGCCCGGCCCTCCCCGGGGGCCCTGCCCCGGCTGCTCGCCGCCCCGGCCCTCCCCGGGGGCCCTGCCCCGGCTTCTCGGGGCCCGGGGCTCCCCGGGGGCCCTGCCCCGGCTTCTCGGGGCCCGGGGCTCCCCGGGGGCCCTGCCCCGGCTTCTCGGGCCCGGGGCTCCCCGGGGGCCCTGCCCTGGCTTTCTCGGGGCCCGGGGCTCCCCGGGGGCCCTGCCCCGGCTTCTCGGGCCCGGGGCTCCCCGGAGGCCCTGCCCTGGCTTCTCGGGCCCGGGGCTTCCCTGCTGGCGCAGACGGTAAAGAACCTGCCTGCAGTGCGGGAGGTCTGGGTATGACCCCAGGGTCGGGAAGATCCCCTGGAGAAGAGGCTGGCACCCTCCTGTGCTCTTACCCGGACAATCTCACGGACGGGGAGCCTGGCAGACTATAGTGCACGGGCCACAAAGGGGCCAAACGTGCGCCCTGGGCCAGGTGGGGTGAGGCGGCCTCTGCACACCCACTCGGTCTCTGGGTACCTCAGAAACTTCCCTGGCAGGTGGGGGTAGGGTGGGCAGTCCTCAGGTGGGAGTGGGTCAGGGCGCGGGGAGATGTGGACCCCCAGCCCAGCCCTGAAAGCAGGCACACATCCTAGTTCACGTAACACTGTTGTTCGGCCGTCCTCCAGACATCAGCCCCTGCGGCCGCCATGTCCCACTCTTCCCTCCCACCCCAGGGCGGGCTCCAGTCTTCCCAGCAGGGGGCCCTGTACTTGCAGGCGTGCTGGCCATGGCTGCATAGAGCCAGTGGTGGGGAGGGGGAACCGCATGCTGCCTGGGTTAGTGAGTGATGACCAGGGCAGCCCCTTCTACGGCCAAGGCGCCAACTCTGCCCCAGCCAGACGGCAAGGCTGCACAGACTTCCACCAGCACCCTACCCCCTTCTCACTGTCTTTACTGGGCTTCAGAACAGACGGCTTTCCCCGACACCATCCCACTTAATCGCAGCCCAGGACCCCAGGCTGGCCCTGAGCACCCTGCCCTGATTTCCTGAGCTCACTAAGCACCCCTGGGTGACAGCCCCAGGGCCCCCCCACTCCCAACACCTGGCCAGACCTGCTGTCAGGACAGCAGGCTCTCCAGGTCTCATGGCCGGAAGAAAGGACACGGCCTAGGGGGCTCAGAACACCGCTGCCGCCCACCCCTACTCCTCGAGCAGGAGCCAGGGCTCTCCACCCCCTTCGCCTGTGAGTGCATCTGTGCCCCTGGTCGGGACGGGGTCAGGCTCCAAGACAGGAACACAGCCCATAACAAATGGGCAGGCCACCAGGAAAAAGGCACCCCTCTGTGGACAAGGGAACACACCTGACTGCCACTGGATACCTGGCTCCGGCCTCCCCGATGCAGAAGGCAGACAACACCTGCCAGCCACTTCCAACTCGGCGAGACCTCCCTGCCACGCCTGCGCCCAGGCTGCCCCGCAGAGCCCAGCACCCGCACACCCCACAAGGCCCCAGAGCGGGTCAGACAAAGTCCTGAGAAGCTTGCTGAGCTCCCTGCAGGCCCCCAGGAAGCAGACACCCAGCAAGGATCCAGAGCCCTCTCCACCACAGAGTGGCCCTGCTGACTGTCTGTCCCCTGCCCAGGCCCCTGCCCCATCCAAGGACGCGCTGAGAGGAGACAGGTGACTTGTCCCTCCCCTCACAGCAGCCCCTGGGGTCCTGGGGCCAGTGCAGGGAAGAGGGCAGCTCCACCCCAGCGATCCTCCAGCCCTGTTTGGTGCAGATGTCCCTGGCCACCAGTGCCAGAGTCAGAAAACCACTGCAGCTCGAAACCAGGAGAGCTTCCCATGAGGTCAGACCAGAGAGACCAGCTGCTCAGGGCCCTGCTGCGGTCGCCCCGCCTCCTGACAGCTGGGATCCTCTGCTTTCAGCACTCCTTTTCTTCGTTCTTGTTTTATTTTTGCGCTGTCTCACAGTAAAGCTGACTGGCTCTGGCGTGCAGCCTGATGGGTTTTAACCCCAACAGAGGACACATGATGGGACACAGCTCCCACCCCGGCCCCCGGCCTGCCGGTCAGTCCTCCGCACACTAGCGATGTGTCCACGGGAACTCCAGGTGACGTCCGGAGCCCGGCTCTGCCATCCACCCTTTTTTCTCATCGAGATGGACTCCCGTGTGGATGCACTAGTCCATCTCGTCACCTGCTGCAGGACACCCAGGTGGCCTGCAGTTTGGGGCAATTATGGGTCAGGCTGCGAAACCCTTCCTGGGCAGGTGTCTGTATGAGCTCCAGTTCCCGTCTCTCTTGGGTGGATGCTCGGGAGCAGCAGCGCTGGGTCCACAGTAGGAACGCCACCAAGATGTCCTCAGAATGGCCGCCCCGCCAGCAGCCCCTCCACCCTCGCCGGCACGTGGCGAGGAGGTAACAGGCACTCCCACAGCCAGGTCTGAATTCGTGTTCTCCACCTGCTGCTGGTGCTCCCTCTGCCCAGTCACGACCAGATTTCTCACTGTGAGCTGTGACGGGCTCTCCGTCCCTTCCAGGCCCTAGTCCTCTCTTGGCTTAGTCTGCAGCTGTCTTTCCTTTCTCTCAAAGGTGTCTTTCACAGAACAGAGGCTCTAAATTCTGATGAAGTCGAATTTACTGATTCTCCTTCATCAACGGACTATATCTTGTGGCAGTCAACTCTGGCAGAAGGAGGCATTTGGATGACTGGTTTTTCTAACAGCTTTCTCCACTGAATGCTTCTGATTCCTGCCAAACACCAAGGGGCTGTGTTTGTGGGGGTGCATTTCTGGACTCTGCTCTGTTGCTCTGACCTCTGTGTCTCTTCAGTCACCAAGCTCCCGGTCTCGATTACCACAGTTTTATAGTAACTCTTAGCACAGCGCTGTTGGACTCTACTGATCTGTTCTTTTTTCAAAATCACTGTAGCTATTCTAGGGATTCTGCTACTCCATGTACATTCTATAATCAGCTTATTTATGGATAAAAACTCTGCTGGGAGTTTGACTAAGTTGCATTAAATGAATCTATACTTCTGGTGTGCTGTCTTCCCATCCATGAATACAGTGTCTCTCCATTTACGCTGCTGGTCTTTGGGTTCATTCATCAGCATCTTGTAGTTTCCAGCATGTACATGTTTCCTTAAGTCCATATCTAAGTATTTCACTGTTTTTGGAGTTACTGTGAATGATAAAACTGTATCAATTTTGTGTTCCAGTTGTATACTGCTAGTATACAAACTATGACTGATTTTTTTGTGTGCTGAGCTTGCTAAATTTACTGATTCAACTTTTTGCCAGAGCTCTTGGGCTTTTTTACATAGACAATCATGCTGTATGCAAATACAGTTTTATTTTCTTCTCCAATTAATTTTTCTTGCCTTACTGCATTACCCATCTTGGGTCAATTGTGGTATTTTGTGCTTTCCAAGGAACTAGTTCATTTAACCTAAACTGTTAAATTTACGTATGCAGAGATTTTTCTGATGCTTCCTTATTACCCTCTTAATTTCTGCTGGGTTTATAGTTATTTCCTCTTTTACTCCTTATAACGATAATCTGTATCTTTTCTCTTCTTACTTTTGTTAGTTTTACTAGAGGTTTCTCAATTTTATTTCTCTTTTCAGGCAATAGGCTTCTGGTTTCATTAATTTCCCCTATTGTTTTCAGAAACAATCATGTCAGTGGCTTCTGTTCTTATTTTATCATTTCTTTTCTTCTGTTCCATTTAGGGTTTTGTTTTTTGCTCTTGTTTTTTCTGGGATTCCCCACGGGCTCAGTAGTAAAGAATCTGCAATGCAGGAAGTCACAGGAGATGCAGGTTTGATCCCTGGATCAGGAAGATCCCCTGGAGGAGGGCATGGCAACCCGCTCCAGTGTCCTTGCTGGGAAAAATCCCATGGAGAGAGCCTGGCAGTCTATGGCTGTAAGAGCTGGACATGACAGCACACACATACACACGCACGCATGCTTCTTTCTTTCTCATTTCTTAATATGGAAGCTTAGGTTGAATTGAGATCTTTCTTCTTCTAAGCTAAGCATTTAATCCTCTAAACCTTGCTTTAGCTGCATCTCAAATGCAGTTCAAGTATGCTGTGTTCTCATTTCAGTTTACAATGTTTTCTAATTTCCCTGGAGACTTCCTCTCTGACCCATG